GCCCACACATTCGAGCTGCTGTTGATAAGTTGGAAGCCCTCGTGAGGTTTGTGGCTCAGGTAACAATAATAATAGACTGCGTTCACTTGTCTTTCTTAGCATTTGTGTTGTGACTATTATAGAAAATTTGTATCTCTCATTAATGTTACATCAACTTATATGCCTTTTCTTTTAAGGAGGGACAGGTACTAGAGTTTCCTTGTGTCTCAAGATTACAAATATCCCTTAATGTGTTATTGATGTCACTTGGAGTTTGCTTTTGCACTTGTCTACGAACTTCCTTGAAAGATTACGGTTTTGTAAAAAATTGTCCAATAGGCTGAAGGTTAGGAGTGCTTTTTGTGAATTTCGTATTGTATATTTTGTAGTACAAACTCTCAGTATTTATTGTGAAAAGCGGATATGATTGGTTTAGTATTATTTATAAGCAGCTTCGGCTTCATTTGGATTAGTGAATTTGAAACTTTTAATGATTTTCCACATCCAATAACAAATTCATTAAGCTTGTTTGTCAAATCTCATATAAATGATGGTGTTTTTCTTTGTTTATTTTGTTTTATTTTTATTTTTTTTTGTTGTTTTTAGCATATTTATATGTATAGCACATTTTATTTTATTGGATCTGAAAAACAGGCAGATCATCTCCGGCAAGAAACTCTTCAGCAGCTATTGCGAATTCTTACACCTCGGCAAGCAGCTCGGGCCTTCATCACCTTAGGTGAGTATTTCAAACGCCTTCGAACTTTAAGTTCAGTTTGGTCCTCACGTCCCCGAGAGAAGGCCCAAGTTGTGATGTGAAATCAACTAAAGTCCCTCATTTATAGTTTAGCACAAATGGCAGATAGTTACGAGATCTACTGCCCCATTTTGTGCTCTCTTTCCTGCTGTTGTGAAATTGTAAATATGTGCAGGTAGTTTGTTACGAGGCAGTTTGCAAATACTTTTTTTTCCTTGCTTTTATACTCATTTGATTTGATGTATTGCATATGTGTAATTCTTTTAGTGTATTTGGGGTCTCTGTATATTTCCAGGTTTATATGTGTCTTTAGCATGTAAAGTGTATATGGGGTCTCTGTATATGTCCAGGTTTATTTGTGTCTTTAGCATGTAAGAGAGTGGGAAGAAAAATGACACAATATTCTTGTTAAAGTATAATTTTTTTCTTATATAGTGAAAATTATCCATATTTTCTCGTTGATTGTAGTTGTTATGTGTCTTGTACTGTCCTTGTGTTTAGATTGTGTTTTTGTTTTTTTCTCTCTCGTTGGGAATGCTTGGTGTATTCTTCTTTTGTGGGAGCTTTTCTTGGTCTCCTTTGGGATTTTTTTTAGTGTTATGTGTTGTTTTTTTAGGTTGGTTCTAGGCAGTGTCTGATGTAGTCCTCTCAATTAGATTCAGCGGTTTAGCTGTTTTTTTCAGCCGTGTGGTTGATTATTCGGCTGAGTGGGTGCTCTCGTCTTTTTTGTTTTATGAATATATATGTGATTCATATCGTTTTTTATTTTCCTATTTTTTTTTCAAGTACAAGTATATGCATGCTCGTGATGACACACTTTAAGCAACAAAGGCTGAGATATATAATTCATGAATAAAATTATGAGATGAAATGTATGCTGAAAAAATTTATCAGTAGATGGATAAGTTTGAGAAAAATGTGAGTAGAGGAATAATGTTGGTCATTTCAATCCTCAGATAAATTTTCTGAATAAAATGCTTAGTTATGCATCTAAACTCTATTCATAATGGAAATTATGCAATACGAAAATTGCTTCCTCTTGCAACAGTGGTTGCGGTGGGGCTATCCGACGGCTTTGGCTGTGTGGAGTGGGAGGCCGTCTGTTCGCGGCTGGCTGCAGATGGGCTTGGGAGCCATAGAGGAGTGAGTGGAAGATGGTGAGTCATGGCAATCGGACGCGAAAGCTCCGTTCAGCTCCTGCACGGCCATGGCGGACGTCGGTTTTTTCACTGGGTTGCGACGGTCAGAACGACAACGAAAAATAGAGGATTCAATCGGCTTATATCCAGTGGTCGAAAAATTCTAGTCCACTAAAGAAAAACCCCTTGCTCCCCCACAATTGAAGAATCCCATTGAGGAGAATACACACCACAACAAAGACATTCACAACACAAACACGTAAGAGACAAAAACAGGGATATGATTATATGAAACTCAAAATTCTTATTTGTATATATTCCGATTTATTTCCATCGCTTGTTTAAAAACAAGCGAAAAAGGACATGCTTTAACTAGTTACCTCAGCTGAAGATTAAATTAAGAGTATCATGTTCAAGAATCCACATGATTCCTCTTACCAAAATCACAATGTGCGCCAACATGAGAAACATTAAAACCTTGGCAAATTACAGAATCCTCATAATATAAAAGAAAATAAACACACATACATCCACCACACACACACACGCACACGCAAGAATGCTGATATCGGCAAGTCAGGAAGACCCCAAACGCCATTTATCGTAAGCCACTTTCAAATCCTTGGCGTATTTGGAGACAAACTGATTCACAAACTTGTCCTCCGTCATCAACAACACCGTAACAAAACTCGGATGCCTCTTCAGAACTCCCCTCGACTTTACCATCTCCATCACTTTCAACCTCGGCACCATCCTCCTCTCTAAACTGAAATTCAAAAGAAAAGGAGACCCCACCAGCAGCGACCTGTTAAACCCGAGAGTATTGATGAAGAAGTCCACCGAACGCCTCAGCTTGTCTTCAGACGCCATGAAAACCACCGGCGACTTCACAAACATCAAACTACACTCCTCCTTTCTAAATCCAAGCTCTTCAAACAGCTCAAACTTTCTGCTAATAGTCTCTGGGCTATTTCTGTAGAGTGCCTGAACACCGTGGACCAGCATTCTTGAGCCCATTTGGAAGCCCATCTCGACAGCCTGCGAGACGAGTCCTTTAAGCTCAGGCTCCCGCATGGAGAACAAACTAAGCTCAGTTTTCAGAAGCTTGATAAGTTGAGAGCCAACTATCCCACAGCTCTTCAAGTAGGCTATGTTGGACTCCAGTCTCGTCTCATTCCCAATGTCCCAGCTGTACCTTGAGAGTATCTGGAAAAGGAGAAGGTTAATTTCGTCATCTGTACTTTTTCCCCGGTAGCACTCAAGGACTCTCTTGATGACCCCGATGCTCGGTTTTAGCTTTTTGTCGAGGCTGCTGGTTAGGAGTTTCGGGTTCTTGGAGATTAGGATGGGCAGGTGGGGTCCACGCAGGCCCAGTTCTTGACAGAAGTCGACTTTGGGCTTGAGGATCTTGTCAACATCTGCGTATAAGACAAGTGGTTGGCGTCTGACTGCTGACTGCATATGGGCGGTGGAGAGGCCAAGGGATTTGAAGTAGCGGATGACCAATTCGGGCTTTTGGGTGGATTCACGCGGGAACCGGCTGGAAATAGTGGCCGCTTTGTGGTGGGGGAATTCAAGGGATTTCATGAGGAAGTCGGTTAGAAGAGGATTTTTGGAGCTTAGGTCTGGGGAGGTTGAGGTGCTGTGAGCCCTTTTTTGGTAGGTTACGAGGAAATTGGTGACGGAATAAAGAAGCGAATCCACGCGAGGGTCCTGCAGCATGGAAGTTCGTACGAGGAGGGAGTGGACTTGGTGAGGTGACTTAGATTTTACCATCATCATCATCATCATCATCACTTCTTGAAAAGTGTGAGTAGAAGGGGGAAGAGGTATGATTGATTACAACTTGTAAAGAGAATCACTGGTTACTTCGTTAACCTGCACCACTGAGAAAACAACAACAATACAGATAAATTCGGCTCTCACAGCTTTGATTAATACCAATACAACCGAACAAACAAAATATCAAACACGTTGTGGGCACTACCAACAAGGGACCCTTGGAATAGCCAAATAAACGCTATAAGCTTAAACTGCACTTCTTAAAAGAGGATGTGAGTTTGATGAAACTGCACTTCTTAAAAGAGGATGTGAGTTTGATGATTCTTGCTATTGCAGAACCTCCTCACACAGGGTGTTAATAGCTGACATGCATAAAAGACGCAAATTCCCATCTTTCATATTAAAAGAGGAGAACAAAGAACAGAAAACATCGACGCGCAGATTAAGAAGCGCGCAGTGGATTTCCATTCACTCAAATCATTTCAAGAACATAACCAAGGATCGTAGAGCTACGAGATGGAGTATTTACCTTGAATGTAGGAGAATTAACTACGAAAAGGGAGTTTGAAACTCGAGGATGCCTTTTAATAGTTACAGCACGAGGACAAGTCCATTTAGGGGTTGTTTCGTTTTGGGGAAATAGAGGGGGAGGTAGACATGGTCACTGGCCGGTTCCGGTCCTGGCCCAGTCTGAACCGGCCTGAACCGGGCTCCTAAGGGCCGGTTCGTCGAACCAGACCTTAAGAGTTGTGGTTCGGTCTTGATTCATAATGTTTTTATTTTTTTTTGTCCAGTCGGTTCAGGTCAGGCCTGGTCGGGCCGCGTGTTGGACGACGGGTCAGTGTAATTTTTTTAAGGACCATACGGGCCTGGAATCACCCGAAACCCGCCAAGTTGGTGAACCGGCGGTGCAGGGCCGGTCACGGGCCATGTGATTGAGGTACGCCGACCCGGCGGGCCGGGTGATGGGGAAGTGGTCATCGACCCTAGTGAGCCCGAGGATGAGTCTTGGAAGAATCTCGAGAGTTGGCTCGAAAACGGGTTAGAAGAGCCGCAAATTGAAGAGCATTGGCCAATCCTTAGGCGAGACTGGCCAACAGGTTGTGGTAAGAGAGCACGCTCACGCAATAAGAGGCGCAAGACTAGACGAGCTAAGAAGAGACGCACGGTTAGTACACACGAGGAGGCAGAGTGGGCTGATGCCGAGTGCGTAGTACCGGGCAAAGTGGGTGAGTGGTGCAAGGCATGCGCGAGGAAAAGGCGTGCATGGCGCATGGAGGCTAAGAGAATGGGCGCACGAGGGGTGGAAGATGGGTGTAAGATGCGCGCGGGTGATTGCTGCGGACTAGCGGATGGGTGTGGCGAGTGGACGGGTGCGCAAGCGGCCGGAAGCGAAAGGCTGGTGAGCGAGCAGCGCGCATCGGGCCATGATGTGTGCGAGGAGGTGATGATGAGGGATCGTGTTTCTTGCCTACGGTTGTGAATAATCGCGCACTAAGGGTCTTCGACTAAACACGATAGGTTGTGACTAAAGACACTCTCAGGGCCTTCTTTTAGATACAACCTTTCTTTTAGACACGGTTGTATGATAAACACGCACTGACGGCCTTGCTTAAACACATGAAAGAACAAAACGTTCATTTTTCTATTAACCACTCGACTTCCTTAAAAACAATGGGGGAAGACCCCTATTTATAGATCCTAACAAATCTAGTCCTACTCTAGCTAGATCTCTAATTAAAGCAATAAAATATTAAATCCAAAACATATTAGATCTTCTAAAGCAACAAGGAAAGTAAATATCTCCTAACATCTTCTACTAATAAACTCCTAATAATACTAGATCTCTTAGATACTTGACTCGCACTCCAATCCAATTACTTGATGTCCAAGTCGTCCGCCAAAAACCCCTAGCCGCCTCCTTCATGCGCGCCGCCCGCCAGCCCTACTCCTCGGTCGCCCTGCACGCGCGCGCACTTGTGCACGCCGCATGTTCGCGCGCCACTGCTCGCACCTCTCGTCCCTGCGCGCGAGTGGTTCGCACCCCAGCCCGCTCGCCGATCTGCTCGCGGCTCTCGTGCGTCCCGCGCGTGCTGCTGGCTTCCTGGCCCTGCTCGCCTACCGCGTGCCCAGCTGCGCCCAGCACTTCCCCGCGTTCGCCCAAACGCGTCCAGCGCTATACCGCGCTCTTCGACCACCGCGCCCAATGCTCACGCATCACCTCCTCAATGCGCACCCTATTCGCAACCATCCGCCGGCCCACAACAATCACTCGCGCGCGCTCGCCACCCATCCTCAACCCCTCGCGCGCCGTTCCTTTGAACCTGCATGCGCCATGCGCGCCTTTTCCTTGCACAAGCCTTGCACCAATCACTTAGCTTTCCCGACACTACGCATTCGGCATCTGCCCACTTAGTCTCCTCGTGTGCAACTGTCGTGCGTCTCTTCTTTGCGCACTTAGCTTTGCGCCTCTTGTTGCGTGATCGTGCTCTCTTCCCACAACCTCTTGGTCAGTCTCGTCTAAAAGTAGGCCAATATTCTTCGACTTGTGGCTCTTCTTGCCCATTCTCGAGCCACTTCTCGAGATCCTCAAAGACTCGTCCTCGGACTCACTAGGATCGATGACCACTTCCGCGTCATTCCCGTCCTCTTCAAGTACTTCCTTGTCCTCAAGGATAATGAAATTGAGCTCGTCGACTTCATCTTCCTCCTCAACTGGCGAATCTCCCTGGTCCTCAGTTCGCAGCTTGATTCTCTTCCTTGAATGCCCAAACTCCATCGTACCTCTCTTCCTGTCGCGCTTAACCACGTGCAATAGAGTTTCCTCTCGCGGTTCGCTTTCCTCAAGATCATACTCCTCAAACTCAAGTAAAAATACTTCTTTACCTTTACATATATGGCCCGACGCAAACTTCTCATTGCATGTGAAGCATAGGCCTTTCTCTCTTCGCCGTTGGATTTCTTCCTCCGTTAATCGCCGTATGTTTCTCGTTGTGCGCGTCCCTTCACCGGTCGCTGGCTTGCTCTCGGCCCGTGGGGGTGCCTCCTCGGTTGCGACGTTCGCGCACTTGGTGTCCGCGCGCGCGTCGCTCGGCTTTGCCTTGCGGACCACCGCGAGGTGATCCTCATGCAATCAATCTGACTCCATCGCCGCTCGTGTTGACCTTGGCCTATCTAACCTCACTTCCGCCGCCAACTAGCACTTTTGGGTCAATCTCGCACCCTACTAGCAATTCGCTCAAACTCCTTTTGATAATCACGTAGGCTACCAACTTGGCGTATCCTTGACAAAGCTTCTTCATAATCAAAGTAATCACTAGAACCAAACCTCGTGATGAGCTCTCCTTCAAAATCTCTCCAACGCATATGCTCACCTTTGTTCTTGTGCAAAATCCACTGCCACCAAACATTGGCTTCTCAATCAAGATGATAGGCAGCAATTTGAACTCGTTCATTCCTTGGCACATCGTTGATCTCAAAATACTGTGATGCTCGACTCAGCCACGCATCCGGATCGACTTCTGTGAATGTCGGCGTGATCTTCGGTCGGTTGTGCACGCGATCCTCGTGATGTCGCCGGTCCTCGTGGTTCGTCGCTCTTCACGCCGGTAGTGCCGGTCGTCGCGCGATCGCGATGTGTGCGTTGTACGCGTTGCCCGCGATCGACGATCGTCATCCTCGTGCTCGGTCCCGGGGCTGCTCGACGCCGTGGTGGACCGCTCCGCGTGGCTTGTTCATGTGTGATTTTACACCATATTCATCTAGTATCTAGAGCTTATTTGTCGCATTATTGGTGTACAAATTGCATTATTGTGATTTAATTTTATATCTTGTTGGAAAGGTATTTCTCGTGCTTGTTTTGTAGATATTTCCACACTTTAGTAGAGCTTTTTGGCTATTGGAGGCGCGTGGTGAGTACCTAGGAACCCCGGGATGATGAAAGATTGATGCACAGATGAAAAAAAATGGAAGAAACAAGTGAAACAAGTTGAAAATAAAGTGCAGATTTGTGGCACGGGCAGTGACATGGGCATCATACCCGTGTCAGAGGCCGTGTAACCTCAACAGAGACAATTCGAGGCCTAGATACCTGACACGACCCGTGACACGGGCGTGTCTGGTCGTGTCGCACACGCGGGCAGTTTTTAATCCCTTGTCTTTTTGGATAAGGAGAAGAGTTTTGGACATTATAAAAAGCATATTAACCCTATTCTGAAGGAAGAACGTAGAGAACACAAGGAGAAGGACTTAGAACATAGAAGAGAAGCAATTGGGAAGAAGAGAAGATCAACCACAAATTTTCTAGTTTTTCTTTCTCCCTTTGAACTTATTTTCTCATGATGATTTCTAATATGTCTATGTATTTGAATTCAAACATGAGTAGCTAAATTTCGTTGATTTTAAGACATGGTAGTAGATTAATAGTTTGGGATTTTTGAATGATTTATCATAGTTGATTGTTTTCTTTTGAACCCTATTCAAATATTTTGTTCTTATTTCATGAATTGCAATTGGCCACTGCTTTTACATGTTTGATGATATTGTTCATGTTATCATCCGACTCGGCAAATCACCATTAAGAGGTTTTCAGCATCATACTAAGTGCCGCTAAATATCGAACCGACGTGATCCATGACCATACCGGTCCACGCAATGAAACCAGTTCGAACCACCGAAGACCGAAGTGATCTGCACCGACCGAGGTCTACTCGAACCGAGGTCGTCACCTCTTTAAGTAGGTGACAAGGCGCCTACACGCTCCTCTCACACTCTACGAGGCTCATCATCATTCGCATGGGCCCCACTACTCCAAACCGCCAACCAAAAGCTACTTTATACAAAAAGTAGTACACCAATTTCAATGTATCCATCAAAAAGTTGCTATAAATAGCGACCCTATGACATTTGTACGGGGAACCCCGAATTGATATTTCATGCAACGCGCAAAAGCCCATCACGGCTCTTCACCTCGGTTCGCCTCGGACCGGGGCCACTGTTGAATATTTTTTACA